ATTAGAAAAGATACAACTCAATTCATAAGACGTTTGGCATGTTAGAGAGGAGTTTCAGCTATGACAGTTCAAAAAGCAGTAAAAAAAGACATGGAAATGAAATTGTACTTGAAACGTGTGAGGCATTTTGTTACTCAAGGATAGAAAGTTAGAAGGTTAGCGGGGGGCGAAGATAATCTTGAATGAGTTGAAAATGATCCTGAATATACATATATATATATATATATATATATATATATATATATATATATTTGAACTGTATTAGTCGTGCTTATACCTGAGCCTATAGGTAAACATTGGTCAGATTTATACCTGAGCCTATAGGTAAACATTAGTCAGAGTTATACTTGAGCCTATAGGTAAACATTGATCAGATTTATAGTTGAGCCTATAGGTAAACATTGGTCAGATTTATACTTGAGCCTATAGGTAAACATTGATCAATTTTATACGTTAGCCTTTAGACTTGGACAGATTTATAGTAGAGCCTATAGGTAAACATTAGTCCAATTTTTACTTGAGCCTATAGGTAAACAGTGGTCAGGTTCATACTTGAGCTTGAGATAAACATTGGTCAGATTTATACTTGTGCCTATAGGTAAACTTTAGTCAGATTTATACTTGAGCCTATAGGTAAACATTTCTTGTGCTTATCCTTGAGCCACTAAGTATATACTAATTTTATTCTTGAGTAAGTAAGTAAGCATTTCATGTGCTCTAAGTCTAGAGGCAAACACTGGTTGGATTAATAGGTAAGTCTATAAATAAATACCGGATTTATACTTGAATCTATAAGTAAGCCTTGGTTGTGTTTTCAGTCTCAAGGTAAACGTTTGTTCAGTCTGTACTTGAGTTTATATGTAAATATTGTTGTTATACTTGAGCCAATAAGTAAATATTTAGATATTGTTCAGGTTTAAAGTCTATGATTATATATTGGTATATATATACTTGAATCTGTAGGTTAAAATTAGTCTGTTTAATACTTGAGTCAATATGTAAACAATGTCTGTGTTAATATTTGAGTATATAGATAAAAATGGCGCTGTTTTATGCTTGAGTCTATATGTAAACAATGTCTGGGTCCAAAGTGGAGTCTATAAGTAAAGATTGGCATGGTTTTGTGTCTATAGATAAACATTCGTTTGGTTTATACTTGGCTCTGTAGGCAAACATTGGGTGCTTGAATATTTGATTTTGTAGGCAAAAATTCTTTAATTTTATAATTGCGTCTATAAGTAAACAATATTAGGATTTATAGATGAGTCTATACGTAAACATGGGCTGATTTTGTACTTGAATCTGTAGGTAAACATTATTTGGATTCATAGATGAGTCTCTAGGTAAACATGGGCTGATTTTGTACTTGAATCTGTAGGTAAACATTATTTGGATTCATAGATGAGTCTCTAGGTAAACATGGGCTGATTTTGTACTTGAATCTGTAGGTAAACATTATTTGGATTCATAGATGAGTCTCTAGGTAAAAATGGGCTGATTTTTGTACTTGAATCTGTAGGTAAACATTATTTGGATTCATAGATGAGTCTCTAGGTAAACATGGGCTGATTTTGTACTTGAATCTGTAGGTAAACATTATTTGGATTCATAGATGAGTCTCTAGGTAAACATGGGCTGATTTTGTACTTGAATCTGTAGGTAAACATTATTTGGATTCATAGATGAGTCTCTAGTTAAACATGGGCTGATTTTGTACTTGAATCTGTAGGTAAACATTATTTGGATTCATAGATGGGTCTCTAGGTAAACATGGGCTGATTTTGTACTTGAATCTGTAGGTAAACATTATTTGGATTCATAGATGAGTCTCTAGGTAAACATGGGCTGATTTTGTAATTGAATCTGTAGGTAAACATTATTTGGATTCATAGATGAGTCTCTAGGTAAACATGGGCTGATTTTGTACTTGAATCTGTAGGTAAACATTATTTGGATTCATAGATGAGTCTCTAGGTAAACATGGGCTGATTTTGTAATTGAATCTGTAGGTAAACATTATTTGGATTCATAGATGAGTCTCTAGGTAAACATGGGCTGATTTTGTACTTGAATCTGTAGGTAAACATTATTTGGATTCATAGATGAGTCTATAGGTAAACATGGGCCAGTTTTGTACTTGAATCTATAGGTAAACAATGTTTGGATAAACTTCTCTCCTGTGAAACTCTTCCTGCTTCTTGCTTGCCACCCAAGTTTGATCTTCAGGAATTTAAATGCAATATCAATCGTTATCCTCTGTCTTCTTAATTTCATTTTTTTTTCTTTCTCCTTAATATTAAAAAAAATGTTCTTTCTCCTTAAAAAAAGTTGGATTCACGGTGGAGTATTTGATTGGGGAATCGGAGAGCCGAGTTCGAATTCCAGTCGATTACATTCCATCCACTTACGTAGTAATACCCTTGGGAAATGTATGAATCCTCTTCTTCTCCCCCCAGCTATGGGTAAATAGCAGGACATACCTGGTCTGGATGGCAACTGG